ATCACTAATAAAACATTGTTTTATTATATAATTTTTTTTTTTTCTATATCGTCATAAATATCGTTATCGCAAATATTCTTGAAATATCGTGATATAATTTTGAGGCTATATCGCCCACCCCTACTGGAGAAGTTGATGCTAGTTGCCGAAATTCAGAGCCAGTCTGCAGATTTGAGTTGACAGATTCCATAGAAAATTGTGTAGTGTATGATGGTCACAGACTCAGATTTTTTTTTTAGCTTCAGACTTATGATTCCATCCAGTCGGAGGATATCAAACATGTTTGACATTTTCAGCCGATTTTAGAACTCCTGTTGCTTTCATTTGTCACGCGTCTCCTAGCAACAAGGTGCACATTTCTGCGCAAGTTTGTTGTGATCGGAACAACTTGAAAATCTGGTAGTGTGTGATCCTCAGTCGTTTAGTGTATGATGGCCAGTTTTCCTTTGTCACTGTTTACCAAGTCGGTAAGTGTATGATGTAGGGCTGGGCGATATGGGCAAAAATTCATATCTGTATTTTTTGGCCGATTTGCAATATATGATATATATCTCAGTATTTTTGTTTTTGTAATATTTCACATACAACCCAATGTTGTCCAACAAAACAATACATAATAAAGGCTCTGGAAGTGAATGTAACCATGTAAGCCCATATGATGTGCAAAAAAGGGTTAAAACCACATTTCATTCTAACATGATAACATTGCAATCTAAAAACAAAAATAATGCTTTTAAAGCAGAAGTCAAATTTACTAAACTAAAAATGAAAATAAATAAAAACAAAAGCACAGATTTGTATTAGGCTATTTTGACCCCATTACAGTCACTTTACAGTTAGTGCTATCATATAAATACACTTACTTGTAGGTTTAAAATTCTACATATGTCACATTTATTGTCCATCTACAAATATTTCAGCAAAATGTATATTTTAGTCAGAGTTATTGCGCAACTATTTCATTGAGCTCCATCTGTTTGGCGCGCGCAGCGGCGCTCATTCTAAATGAAGTCTGTGAAGTTTAGCTTAGAATCGCAAAGCAAAAGGCTCATGCACTTCTGACAGCAAAATGGAAATATTTCTATGACTTTCTGATATTTATTGATGGAGAATATACCTGTGAAATGTAAGTTATGCATTAAGGAAAACAGCACATCTCAAACACATTAAACAGCGCGTTTCTGTAAGCGGCACACGCAGCCTTTCTGTCAGAGACGCTTTAAACTGAAACTATAAACTATCTTATGAGTTTTTTTTAAGCCCTTAATATAAAGCTTGTCACATGTTTAGAACAAACTGGATTATGCACTTTCTCCGCAGCAGCTCAGTCTGTGTCCTCCGTTATATTTTTCAGATGCGCTCGTATCAAACTACTGTATATCGATATAAACAGTATTGCTTCATTATATCGCATATAAAGAATATATTGATATATCGTACAAACTCGATATACCGCCCAGCCCTAGTATGATGCCTAGTGTTTTAAACATCTTTTCAGATTTTAAAAGTCATGTAGTGCCTTTAGTCATCCCACCAGATTCGACAGACTCTTGTCACTATTTGGGTAGTTTCTGTGAATGAGAAAAGGAAATAGATGATTGTAGGTGAAATGAGTCAGTGAGGGTCTGTAGGTGAACCCACTGAATAATCTCTTGACATTTGAAGAACGTGGAGGGGAAAAAATGTCAAGCGCCACACTGAATAATTTGTAATTTTAAGGTAAAAGCGGTAAAAAAAAATTTTTTTAGGGTTTTTATTCTAGGTTTGAAATCAATATTAAGTTAACATCACTTGGATGTGATTAGATTTGCACTGGATTTGAACACATTTCAGGAGTTTTGTCAATATCAATCATTGCAAGTTATGGCCATTACAACTGCCAGATTCGTCAGTGCAGTGTTGCAAGTATGTTTTTGCATGGTGATGCTGACAGAGCAATGGGGCTTTCAATCAGTGTTTTTTTTTTTTTTATTCATTTATTTTGTGTGTGCGCACAAAAGTGTATGACACTATGCCTCCACAGGCTGCAATCACGGTATGTGACATTAGAAACTGCAGCTTGATCCCACACAGTATTGCCTGGTTTGGATTTGATTGCTTGTGTAAGCAATATTTATCAGTACCCAAACCTGTCTTACTGCTAGTTTCAATAAAAAAGGGCATGCTAGTTATTAAGAAGTTGAGCAGTCTTATTATACAGTCTGGTTTTGAGCTGTAATGTGCTTGCTTAAAATCCCAGAGAGAAAAAAATGTAGGCTCTTTGTCTGCACATAAAGGAACCTCTTGCTTCATCATTTGGGATTTGAGTGAATGTTTAAGGGAACGTGTGTTAAGAACAGGTGGCTTACCTCCTTAAGACAGAGAGACCTGTCAAGTACCTCCTTGTAAATAAATTTGCCCTGGTTGGGTATTTTTTTTAATGGTAATTGCATATAAGAACACACAAAGACAACTGTGAAATGCTTGGATTACTGCAAATGTTTTTTAAGCAGGTTTTGTTGTTGTACTCTGGAATGTGAGAATACATCTGTTGACTTCATTTAGCCTCATTAGAGACAGGCTGCTTGCAAACTATGTTGATGTTAGTGTGTCATATTCCCAAATCTTTGGTACACTGACATGCACTTATGCCCCCCAAGTGTAGCCTAATTATTTTTATGGACACAAAGTTTTAATGAGTCTAATGTTAATGTCATAATATAACATTTACAAAGCAAGTATTGAATAACTGAATTACGAATTGCCATAAAATTCAGAAACATATCATCTTAATACATTACATGTTAAGTAACTTATCCTTTTATAAGTAGAAAGTTTTAATATTTTACTTGGTGTCTGGTTATTGCTAACACTTATAATAACTTCATCAGTTTTTCACAAAACCGTTATAATGCTTCATTATGTTATAGATCAGTACTTTGTGAATATTGAATATATGAATATTGTATAGAATAATCAACATAAATATTTGAATGCATTTTGTCTTATGGTCTGTGATCTGCATTATAATGCATTAAAGTTTGTTAGTTACTAGTGAAAGTAGCACAATATATCAATATATTATGTTGAGCCTATAAACTACTTTTTCCCGCTTTTTCATATTGATTGGAGTATGCTGTAATTTCCAAGTTTGACTAAGGGTTTGTTCATAAATATTAATTACGTGTACACCTTGTTTGAAAAGAATATGCTCTTAAGTGTGTGCTAATCAAATGAGAATAGATGAAGTCTACTGTTATAAGGGCATGGTTCATGAATTTTAATGAAGCTACTTGATTGAATGCTCCTGGAAGGTTAAACATTCAAGTCTGCATGACATAATTAATGTTCACGCACTATATTCTATTTGTTCCATCAAAGCATACATAAAGGACACATTTTTGGTTTTAAAAACACGTAGAAAGGTAAACTTGTTTTTAAAAAGTAAATTGTACGAAGTAAACTATTTTTAACTCGACATTCCTTCTCTAATGGTGTGAGATGCTGATTTAAAAAAACAAAACAAAAAAAAACATTGATTGAGACATTACAGAACAGCCAGAGACATCTGTGCATGTTTACATTGACCAACAAGTGAAGAAGCACAGGCAGAATACAGAAACATCCTGTGTGAAAACCTTTAAACAGTAAGCCATTGTGAACATAATTTAAGGTTAGATATATAGGAAGGAGGTTGTACTGTAATGTTAAATCTCACTTACACCAGAGCGGCAAAATAATTTTTCACGTTCACTCACAAATGCGAATGAAATGCTTGACTGTAGAGTCCTGTAATAGACCATTCACTATAGCATTCACACAAATAATGGCCTGCTGTTTTGAAATTTTTCAAGTTTTTGTTCTTTTTTTTTTATCTCTCTGTAGGTTGTCCTTTTACAAATGCAGAAAAATAATTAAACAAAGACAAGTTAAATTGTGCTGAGGAACTGGTTCCTTTAAAACTTTTTTTCTGTCTCCATTCAGTTTTCAGGTTTTTTTTCTGTATTGATTTAGATTAAATTACTTTTTCATTCTCTCTTTGAAGATGCCATTATATTTGCATTTATGCATTCAGCATATGCTTATCCAAAGTGATTTGCAGTCTATTCAAGGTATTTATTCTATCAGATGTGTTGTCCTTGGGAATCAAACCCATGACCTTGATGTTGAGCAATAGACTTTACTGACATTAATTCTTTCTTTGTTCTCCTCTCTTTATCTGTGAAGATATTTTTTTTTATACAGTGTGAATAATTTATTTAATGTGAATTGCAAAGTATGACTCCCCATTAACGTCCAAACGAGTTTTGTACATCTAGATCTACAGTGAGTATCCTCATAGCAAATCAACCCTGTATGATTCCACCAAATCAGCTTATCTTCATAAAATAGCATGGCTTTTTACTAAGATACATTCATATGTGATATGATCTGAAAGTGTAACTACATTTTTAACATCACGTGTGGTATGGAAGACTCTCTTGAGCTCTTTCTCTTTGGTGTGTGAGGAAGAAAGAGTGCTCTCAGCTTAGGGATGGTGACTTTTTGCAGCCCTAGTTTGGCCAATAGTTTGTATTTTTTTTATTTGACTTGCCAACATTTTTACTAGCTTCACCACAAAAGAATGTGTTTTTTTTTTTTTAATATATGAATATTCATGTTTTTCATTTAAAAATACTTTTTACATTATTAAACTGAAAAAGATGGAAATTATAGAGCTGTGATGTAACTACATGACTAAACACGTTTATGAACTCAGGAATGGTTTGTAGTTTTCAACACATACTGATGATTTCAAGGCATTTTTGTGATTTCAATAAATCCTTCTGTGTGAACCTGCTAGGTAAAAGTTCTGCAAATTCTGCTGATGTGTCAAAAAGGCAAGAGACGTGTATTTATATTAATAAATAGACTTGCTGTAACTAGCCTGAAAGTCTTTGTGGAGCCCTGTCTTCCACTGGCTGTCAATTTATTCAGAAAAAATAGTGCTTGTTGTTACTTGGGCCGCATATTGCCTACGTATGACTGTTTGGTATAGTGGTAATCTGTTATTGTCCCATGTTGTTGTCAAGTAATTTCATAATGCTTTTACTCCTGTTTTGTCAGTGCACAGCTGCCCTGCTGGATCGACGCTGAGTTTGGTGGTCATCCCATGTCCAATGACAGAACACATCCTCTGAGAATTCCATACTCATTACCTGAGGTGTTTGGGCCGAGAAAACACACTCGGCATGACTTGGTGCGACTGAGTGACTCCGTGTACTTGCTGTTGAAACATTTGAGAGTGTTGCATGTTGTTTTTCTTTTATTTTTCGCTGCTTGTTTCCTTCAGAGCCACGTTTGCTTCTGTTTAGGTACGGTGTCTCGGTATTTTAGCCCTCTCTGTCTGTTTCTCTCTCTGTCCTTTTCTGTTCTTCTCTCTGGTGTTCCTGTTTTGTAGTGCGTGTCCTAGCAGAGCCTCTCGGCCCATCTGGCTTTGTTTCAGACTGAATGAGCGCAGTGTGGACTAAGGCAGGCTGGCGGATAAACAGCAGGATCTGCAACAAGCAGTCACAGCTCGCTCTCCCACTTATGCTCTCTCTCCGTCTCGTTCTCTTTCTCCCTTGCAGCACTCCACAGGAGGGAGAAAAGCGTGATGAGCTTGTCTGTTTACTGGCCTCTTCCTCTCTGTTGAGTAGCATGCATGTTTTATTACACTGCCATCAAAAGCACAAAACAAGCATTTGTGTGCAAGAATTAGCCACTCCTCTGAGAAAATTCACCACCGTTTTTGTGTCCCTCTGCTCTGCGTGCGTAATTTAGACACTGCAGGTTTTTCATTTCCCTTTTCGTCTGTTTTGGTATTTAAGCCAATGCCGACTCATGCACTGCTCATAGTAATTTGGTAATATGATTGTATTCTGTGCCCCACATGGATATCGTTTTGGAAGGAGTTCTGCTTCTTAGTCTGGACCATCACCAAACACAAGCAGAAATTCCAGCTGGCAGACGGATGAGATGAGAGATGCTATTAGCCAATGACAAGATATTGTCTCAGTCCCTCTTGGCGGAATAAACTGCTCAACCTCTGTTGCATTGCAAATGAAGAGAAGCACTCATAACATGCTCGACTGTTTAAAGTGCCCTTATTATGCCATTTCGAATATTGCCTTTCATGCAGTGTGTAATGTAGCTGTATGTAAATGTAAACGATCTGCAAAGCCGAAAGTGCGCGATAAATAAAGTCATTGTCTCCCAAATGAAAGAATCTACTCTGAACAGCATAAATTTGAATCCCACTTCCGTGACGGCTACACATCACAGTGTAATACATTTGCATAATGCCCACCTATGTTCTACGTTGGCCGGCTGCGAACTTGAACTTGACCGCCCTCAAACACCGTAGCGTGTTTGTGTTTAACATGTAGAGAAGACGCCGAGTCCTGTGCTATGAAAGTAAATTTGTTTATTTTCACATCCAAAAATCCGACTGCTTCTCTAATCTCAGGGAGACAACTCGCAATTCACAAAATGCTTGCTCTTGAAAAATGGCTCAGTACCCAGTTTTTTTGGACCAGCTGCCTCCACTGAATCACAACCTGTATGTAAGACAAATAATAGATGTTTATATTTTCTATCGAGTGTTCAAATTACAGAACGATTATAGATTTTGTTGGTACGATTATTGTCTGAGGAATAATCACGGTTTAACGATTATTACTATTATTATGCATTTATTCATTTCACAACATTACTAGTGTATAAAATCACATGAACACTCTAGATTTTAAAGTGTTATTTATTGCTGCCTTTTGAAACAGAAACAACACAGTAACCAATAATAGGCCCACAGCACAAAATAATAATAATAAAGACAAACAAAAGTCCATCTCTCCAATTGGAATTAAAAAGGTGACCTCTGCTCTGTAAACATCCTTCTTTTGAAAATAACTAATTAAAAAGTATTTAGTGTTTTCACTTTGTACATTCTTTATTTCTTTTGGACCTGAGGTAGAGAACTTGGAAATATGGTGAAAAAAAAATCTTGTTGGTTTTTGACATGAATAAAACAGGGATAATAAATACCAATGTTAACGAAGCATTATTAATAGGGGTGTGACGAGACACTTATCCCACGAGACGAGATACGAGACTGGGTTCATGAGAACGAGATGAGATTAGATTTTTTGACTTTTTTGACTTTTTTTCCTCAATGATGAAATATATAGGGGAAAATTGTCTTTTATTCAACTGAAAAACACTAAATACACTAAATGCGGTGCATTTTGGAATCAACGTGTACTTTATGAAATTAAACATCTATTTTAATACATTTTATGCAGTAATAAACAATATGTAAACACTGCAAAATGTTTTGCCACAAACTCAACTGACAGGCAAGTAATTGCACAAAAATTATAAATAGTATAAATAAAAATAAATAATAAACAACACAAACATCCCTTTAAAGTGGAAGTGAAGCAGTCAGTCAAGTTTACATTATTTAGTAAACTGATTTCCACTTTAATAAAAAATATATATAATAAACACAATTAATGTATCCATTTAAAAGAATAAAGCAGTGGTTCCCAAACTGGGGGGTGCAAGGCTGAGTGATAGTTAGGGCCTAAATAGGTTCCTAAATTCCGTTAAAATTTTTCTGGATTCCATTTTTTCTGTTTTAATTTTTCTCGACTCCTTTTTAATAGTTAAATTA